GGCTTTTTAGTGGTTGAACCATTTCTAGTTTGTGAATCCAGCTTAGAGGGTAAAAGGACCAAAAGGCTATTTATGGCCAAGGGGCATAGAGCTAAAAAGGTACTAGAGTTAGTGCATACCGATGTATGTGGTCCTATGAATATCAGGGCTAGAGGAGGATATGAGTATTTTATCACTTTCATAGATGACTACTCTAGGTATGGCTATGCTTACCTTATGCCTCGCAAGTCTGAGGCTTTTGATAAATTCAAAGACTTTCAGGCAGAAAGTAAAAGGCAGACGGGTAAAAGCCTAAAAACTCTTCGATCAGATCGAGGAAGGGAATACCTCTCTAGTAGATTTGAGGATCATTTACGAGAAAATGGGATTATATCCCAAACATCTGCACCAGGCACACCATAACAAAACGGTGTCGCTGAAAGAAGCAATAGAACCTTACTTGACATGGTAAGATTGATGATTAGTTATTCAAGTATACCAGTATTCTTTTGGGGACATGCTTTGGAAATAGCGATTTATACTCTGAACTTAGCTCCATCTAAAGCAGTTCCTAACACTCTTAAGGAATTGTGGACCGGGCGTAAGCCTAGTTTACAACATTTACGTATATGGGGGTGTCTTACACATGTGCGAAGAGGAAAGCTTGAGAAGATAGGACCAAGATCAGATGTTTGTCTTTTTGTGGGCTACCCAAAGGGTACAAAGGGTTATTCATTTTATGATCCTAAGGAGTAAAAAGTGTTCATAAGCATAAATGCTATTTTGCTCGAGGATGATTATATAATGAATCACTATCCTCGAAGCAAAGTTGTTTTGGAGGAGTTGATAGATACACCAATGAGACACTGGATACCATAGATCCAGAACCTCTTATTATATCAGAACCTCGATGTAGTGGGAGGGTTATCAGGCCACCTGATAAGTTAATGCTCTTGGGAGAGTCTTACGAAATGATTCCAGAAGAGCAAGATCCTTCCAGCTATGAAGAGGATATGAATGATTATGACTCGGGACTTTGGCAAGATGCTATAAAGGCTAAGATGGAGTTTATATACTCCAATCAGGTTTGGGAGCTGGTAGAACCACCTGCAAACATTAAACTTATACAATGCAAGTGGGTCTATAAGTGAAAAAGAGGATCAGATGGGAAGGTTAAAACCTTTAAAGCAAGGCTTGTTGTGAAAAAGTTTACTCAAAAATTGGGTATCAATTATGAGGAGACATTTTTGCCAGTAGTCATGCTTAAGTCTATTCGTATTCTCTTATCCATTGCAGCTCATCTCGATTACGAAATTTTGCAAATGGATGTTAAGACGGCCTTTTTGAATTGTCATCTTAAGGAAGACATCTATATGATGCAACCAAATGGGTTCATAGCAAAGGGCCAAAAGCATATGGTATGCAAGTTACATAAGTCAATTTATGGACTTAAGCAAGCGTTTCGTAGTTGGAACATTCAGTTTGATCTAGCAGTCAAATCTTTTAGATTTGATCAGAATCCGGAAGAATCTTATGTATATAAGAAGAATGAAGGAAACGCAGTGGTGTTTCTACTTTTATATGTTGATGGCATACTACTTATTGGTAATGATATAGAAATGTTATCAACCGTAAAAAATTGGTTATCCAATCAATTTGATATGGAGGACTTCAGAGAAGCCAATTACATTCTAGGGATTAAGCTTTTATGAGATCGTAAAAATAGAATGTTGGGCTTATCTCAGATTGCTTATATTGATAAGATATTGGTCAAGTTTGGTATGCATAATTCCAAGAGGGGTTTATTACCGTTCAGGCATAGAATTGCTCTTTCAAAACAATAGTGTCCTAATACACCAGAGGAGGAAGACCACATGAAGGCATTTCCTTATGCTTCAGTAGTAGGAAACCTCATGTATGCGCGCTATGCTTTGTACTAGCCCAGATATTTGTTTTGCAGTCGGTATGGTCAGCAGATATCAGTCCAACCCTGGATAAGAACATTGGATAGCGGTGAATCACATCCTTAAATATTTGAGGAGGACCAGAGATTACATGTTGATCTATGAGGGTGATGATTTACTTCTAGTGAGTTACATAGACTCTGACTTCCAGTCAGATAGGGATAATAGGAAATCTACCTCAGGATATGTGTTTACACTTGGTGGAGGAGCCATTAGTTGGAAGAGTGTGAAGCAATCTTGCATTGTAGACTCCACCATGGAAGCTGAGTACGTAGCAGCTTCAGAGGCAGCTAAACAGGCTGTATGGCTCAAGAATTTCCTCTTAGAGCTTGGAGTGGTACCACTGGCTTGATCTCTTATTATCTTATATTGTGATACTAATGGGGCAATTGTTCAATCCAAGGAACCAAGGAACCACAAGAAATGAATGCACATTGAGTGCAAATATCATCTCATTAGAGATATAGTTCAGCGTGGGGACATTATTGTCACTAAGATTGCATCTGCAAATAACCTTGCAGATCCTTTCACTAAGACTGCACCTACTAGGGTTTTTGAGTCTCATGTTGAAGGGATGGGTGTTAAATGTAATGGTAATTGGTTTTGAATGCAAGTGGGAGATTGTTGGGATCATATACCCTACAATCCAATTATTTATTATTTATTCAATATTTTATTAATAAATATGATATTCATGCATTAGGCTTTACATATATTTGTATGAGATGCATTATAGTCCTCAATTTGCATTATAGGTGACTTAAGTGTGTAAATGAGATTTACACGCAGGAGATTTAGGCTCACCGGTTTCTTGCACCTTGGCATTGTTCGCAGTCAGTGATAAAAGTTGAGCACATTTATCTTTAAGACTGTAACACACTTGACTTCTATAAGATATGATGGTTTGTCTTGACCATTGGGGTAGTTGACTCTAAGGTAGTGTGTTAGTGTGCTTGGAGTAGTACATTGAACTGGATCACCATAAGATCACACCATACAATGTACTGTCATTATTCTGGTGTGTTTCTTTTTCTACTAAATTCATAGGCTCTAAATCTTGAGAGATTTAGTGAACTTAAGTTTCAGTACTAGTCACTTTGACTTACCAATGTATGAGATCTTTTTAAGGTTAATACCACAGTATCTTGGGTGGCTAATGTTGGAGCTCCGGGAACATAAATGCTCAACATGGAATTCACACTCTTTATAAGAGTTAGAATATTCCCTTGATGCAATTTAATAAGTTTGATCACTGGAACCTGGCCAGGGCATTTTAGTAAAATGCTTACTAAAATATTTTTCTATTATTTGTTTGGAAAAATATTTATTTTAAAAAATTATTTTATAAAAGAATTTAATTCAGTGATATAAGTAGTAAATTGGTTACTCGAGGAATATAAAATATAAGTTAGCCTTAGGTGGGACGGTATATATTTTCCTGGGGCTACTTATAGATATTCGGTAGTGGAGGGGCTTATATGTAATTGTTTAGTAGATAGGGCCTTGTCGTAATTTTTAAATCCAAGAGTGCAATTACAATACTATTATGGTGCTAATTTTAATTAATTAGATAGGATAGAGTTATGACTCTATCTCTATCCAATTGGAGATAGGATAAGGAAGCCCTCTTGGATCCTCGTCTCTAGCCCCAGACTTTTAACCGACTCTCTCAAGTCATATATTCGGTAACGCTGCGATACAAAATCATTCTGTTACACGATACAATACATATACAGAGAATGAGAGAGAGGGTTAGGGTTCCACAAACCTATATTGGGGTCATAGAGGTGAAGTCTCATTGGTATTTAAGGCCAAAGAAGAAAGTGTTCATCGGAGTTTAAAGCCAAAGAATTGTGTTCCCACATTCGACGATTATTCAATCGTCTAAAGGTATGAGACCCCTTTACAGTACTTCTTGATTTGATGAAAAATCACGTGGTTATGCTCCTGAATTTTTTTAAATGCTTCTGTTATGCCTTCAATTATATCATTCTAACAATTGCATTCAAGTTTTACATATAAAGAAATACATAAGTTTTAAGTACAAAAAAGTTATATATTTATAATTTAAAATGTTTATTTCATCACGTGCATTATGCCAGTACAATAAAAAAATACTAAAAGTCATCATCTTAAAAAGTTAGATTCCTAAAAATGGACATTTTTTTTAAGAGGGAGGGAGGGAGTACTTATTTATTTATAAAGGAAGGGTTAAATGTGCCATTTTCTTTAAAACTAGAGTGCATTAATTATAGAAAAGGGAGTACGGATATCTGTCTCATAAAATTTTCAGTCTTTTATTTATTTATTTTATTTTAGCCTTAACAAGAAATACACTCAGGGTCGGCTGGACCCTTAGGCAACTTAGGTGGTCGTGTAAGGCGCCAATAGGAAGACTTCAAAATATATTTTTTCTATTTATTATATATCCTTTCTAATATTTTAATTTCTTTTATTATTAGATTCCAGCCAATTGAAAGGCTCCAAAATATTTCATTTCCTTATAATTTGACTTTAAGATCAATTATGTTAGTTGAATTGGCTATACATTAGATATTAAAATGGTATTTTTATATTTTTCGCCTAAGGCCTCAAATTATGTTGAGCCACCTCTAAAAACACTCACACACTCACTTGTTAACCCTCAACTTTCTACTATGAAAAGGCTAAAAAGTATCACTAGTCTTCTCCCTACTTTGATAGAATCAACAACATTGTTTTGTGACTCAAACCCAACAAAATATACATTCATATATACGTGCGCACAATTTGAATTAGGGGTGGCGGGCAAATAATCCATAAATCTGCAAATTTGATCTCTATGGATCGGATCAGATTGTTACACGTATCCATAGATTATTGATGGATTCAAAAAAATTAATTCCCTAACTCACGGATCGGATCACGATTGGGCTGTTAAAATGATCTCATCCACGAGATTTATATATACATTCAAAGAATGAATTAGTTAATGGTCAATTAATGAACTATAAGAATGTATTAGTTAATGACCATCTAGCAAATTCTCAAGGAGATTTTATATAGTATTACTTCATATTGAAAAGAACCACATAGTATGTATTATTCAGTAGTACTTTCATTAGAACTAAGCCTAAGCTAGCTCTATATGAGGGCACCTAATGTCACAGTATGTAAGTACTAAAACATGATTTATTAACTAGCTGGAAATGCAAAGCACGGCATCAAACAAATATAGCTCCTGCCCGCTTAAGCATTGGGACTAGGGAACCTTCGAGGTGATGACTAGTGACCTCGTTAACTCCTCCCATCAGTTTACCACCAATGAACACCACCGGCGTTTGATCGTAACCGAGCCTCGAAAGAGCCTGCCCCATTTCTCGGCCTCTCGGTATTTGATCAAGCTCGTGAATGGCTGGGTTGGCGCCAAAGTTCCTAAAGAAGGTTATGATGGAGTCGGACATGCAGCAAGAGCTTTTAGTGAAGATCACTAGTGGCCTTTGAGACACCGTTGTCTTAACCCCTTCCATTGATTCCAGCAATTGAAGAATTATGCTAAGAAGTAGCAACTACAAATGTTACTGTTTTAAATGCAAAACAATGATACAGATCGAGCAATGTGAGTTGTGAAGATTGAGAGAACACTTTGGTTTTGCTGTGATGAAAATCAAGGCCCATGGGGTTATTTTTATAGTAGTAGATTTTGCATCATTGACTAAAAGAGAAATTTTCCATTAGATTTGCATGATGTTCTTGATGACTAGGTGACAAAGATGGATCAATGGGCAGCGATACGCAATAAAAGTTGCAAAATAACGAATATATGTGTTTAGGGATATTGGTACGGCTTCGTATTGCATGCTGAAAATTTATATATATATATACACACACACACACATATATATATAATTAAGGCATATGTGTAGGTCAAAGTAAAGAATTGCTACCTTCAAATCCTTTAAGTGTCCCAAAATATCAAAATATGTGAAAATAAAAGTGAGTTCAATGGTGTGAGATGGTGGGATTTTATTGAGAGAGGAGGGAGACGGAGAGTCTCTAATGAGATTATGAGTGGAGGATAGGAAAAAAAATAAAAAATTGTAATGAGAGCGGAGGAAAAATCACAAGGAATAAGAGAAAAAAAAAGAGACATAAAAGTTAATAAGTACCATTCAAAAAAAAAAAAAAATTAATAGTAATAAGATAATATGGAGTGCTTTTTCAATTCTCATAAGTTAGATATATATTCAGTAATTAATGCTCGGGTGTAGGAGAGGGGAAAAAATAAAAAATAAAAATAAAAGAAGATGAAATAAGTATAGAAATTAGGAGTTTTAATAAAAAGTGAAAAGAAAAATTTAGAATGAATCAAATTATTTGGGCCCACTTTTAAATCTCTAGTATGGGTTGGAATATAATAATATAAAGAAATAATTTTTTTATTTATTAATATCTAATAATATAAGAAAATTATAACTTTAGGAATTTTTTCATTGGCCGGGGCGTAAGAGGAGTGCCTAAGGCTCCAGTCCGCCGTTGGTACCTACATGCATCATTCAAGATAATTACATTAATAATATAGAATAATACCATTGATCAATTTTTTGGATTATATACATATATAGAACTTCTCATAAGCATATATATTAATTTCTCAATTATATTAAATACCTTATCATTTTGATGAAATGCATGTAGAAGATAAAAACTAAAGAAGATACTTGAGGTGCATGTACGTGATAGAGAGAGAGGATAAGGTCCGTTAGGCATCAGCGCGCGCAGGTGGAGAAAGAATGTAAAGTTTATGGGCATCAGATAAAGATGAATGCGTGGGCGGTTCCTTGCATCCCACAGTTTAGTGTCAGAATTGGTGAGGTACAGAAATGTACTCCTCTCTCACTCTCTTTTCTTTTGAAGAGGACAGATGATTGAAAAGCTAAGGAACATAATTAAGTTCTCCCCTTTATTGCATTAATAAATACGACACAAAAAGAGAGAGTTGCATTCAGAACAAAGTATATCATTTACAAGTGGATGAAAAATCGTACAAGGATTTGGCAGTTTATTTGATTCCACGCGTTGGTACCGTGTGTATGTACAATCATTATCACAATCATACTTAATCTAGCTGATTCTAGCACGTGAATGTATACTCATTTTTGTTCATGGAAAGTTTGGAGTACCAACTCCATTTGAGATCCATGAAAATTTAATATGAAGTTTGAACTAAATTTCTTTTAATTTTAAATCAAAGGTATTGATTCAATGCTTTCAAACACAATAGATTACAATTTTAGTGAATATTAGAGTTGAATTTAACACGTGCATGTACGAAACAGAGCGGCGGAGATATTTTCTGGAAGCCCTATATGCCATGCATATTGGTTATTGGTTCTCAGTTTCGACCATTATCTTGGGAGTTCTACACGAGTACGGGGAGAAGATGATCTTTCAGGAGCTTGTGCCTGCACAAACATGGAGTTTGTGCTGGGGAAAAATTAACTCACTCCAATCCACTCGACGGTCGGCTGTTGTTGAGAGTTACATCACTCATTCATCACACACATCAACACAAGCATATATAGATATAACAATCATACATATCCACACATAACATAATATTTTACATGGTTCACTCAACTATAGGGTTACTGTTGGGATTTATATGCCCTGGCATAGAAAATTCCTATCTGGATTATAGTGACATATGTTCCTGACATATCTGAAATATTTATGATTTATATAATTGGTGAATTCAATGTATTATGTTTCGATTCACTATGAAATTGATAGTGTCCATATAATTACAAGAAATATTTATATATATGTATGTGATGGCAATCAATGCATGATATATAAATAGTAATTATAAATTGTTCATAGTCAGTAATTATGGATGGACTCATAATTAATTAAGACTTGAACTCGATCCGCGTTAGGTTGAGATATATTGCGAGAGCCGTCGTATGCAATTACTCCCTATCACCGTCATGGCATTTGACTCTTAAGCATGAGAAAAGTATAGACTCTTTTATTAATTAATAATTACTTTGATTTGTTCGGCGGATTCTTCGGGATCCTTAGACCGACACTTTGGGTAGTTATGTAATTAATAGTTAGAGGGTTATATTTTCAATATTTGCATCATTGCTACTTGTATTTATTTTGTATTGATTATGGTTGATCACAAAGTAAATTCGAAGGCCTTCGTGTGTTTTTAGATAAAATGATTTATTATATATTTATTTATTTAAATTATTATTTTTGTCAAACAAATGTTTTATTGTGATCGAGCCAGAAATAATCAGAGGTACCAAAATAGATATATTAATTAAGTAGTCGGATTAATGGCTTTGTTTATCCGATAACTAATTATGCATAGAGGGGTCAAAGTGCAATATTGACTTAGAAGTTATTTATTATTTAATTGGAGTTCAATTAATTTCTTTTAGTGGAGTAGAAATTAATTTATGAATTAATTGAATTGGGTCCATGGACCGGGCCAATTATTAATTCATTGTAACCAATAAAATAATAGGCCCAATGGATTCTCACTCATAGCCCAACTTGATATTGGAATCATATTAGATTTGAGACATATGAATTAGAGATGGAGAAGGATTTGTTGTTTCCTTTTCTTTATTTTTATGTTGCCTATAAATATACATGGTCTATGTATATTTTAGGGGGTGATTTTTAATGAGAAGGAAAAAGGAATTTATTTTCTCTCTCTAGAAAATTAGGGTTTATGTTCTCATTTAATGGAGGCTCCCACAAGCCTAGTTTTCCAAGGTTATTCATGGAGGCTTATGAGTGATTCCTAAAGGCAAAACAATTACCAAGAAGATGGAGATCCAAGAAGAAGGTATCTTGCTAAGGGATCTACAATAAGTGAGAACATTCATTTTAGAGGAAAGTTTTAAAGGTTTACTCAGACCTTTGATGTAAGTATTCAATCTGCTAATTGAATGATACATCATATTTTTATTTTTGCGTAAAACTTGTCTCTATGTGATGAATCAAGATCTATGAATCAAAATCCCTCGAAAAGTTTTTAAAACTTGCACGTTTCCCAACAGTGGTATCAGAGCATGGTTTGATTCATTACTAGAGATCATGATTTTATGAAAATTCATCATTCATGGATCCAATTTTGATATGCATATATTTATTTATTGATGTATGTTGATGTATGAATTAATATATTGATATATATTGATACATGATGATATGTGTTTTGGGCCATGGATGAAGCTTATAGGAATATTGAATGTAATTTTATCTTTGGATGAATGTAATTAAGGCTTTGATTTAGCCGTTTGAAAGTTCAATGATGTAATTTAATTTTTTCCATTGTATTTCAAATTGTAAATATTTTTAAAGCCATGTAATCTTCGTCAAAGGATGCTATGAAACTTCAAGAAGGTCCAAGAGGGTTAAATTAGGCTTCAGGAATTTTCTGGGATTTTTTAGAAATTTTCCGGAATTTTTCTGGAATTTTTTAAGGCCTAATTTAATTTCTGGAATTTTTCGGCGATTTTCCAGCGACCGGAGAGTTGTCGGCGGCAAGGTTTTGGCCGGAGATCAAGGGGGATTGATGGGAAATAATCCCATGTGACGCGGCTAATGATAGACCCTCGCGCATTACTTAGAGCATATAAATGTTAAAAGCTGAATCCATTGGCCATTTAAATTGCTTCTGTCTGTTATTTATTTATTTAACTGATGCATGGAATAATTAATTGTTTATTATTATTATTCATGCATTGGATCCATGATATTAAATTAAATGACTTGATTTATATTAATTAAATTATAAAAATTAATTGGATTTGATTACTAATTAATTTGAGAGCACTTATTGGGAAACGAAAAATTATTTTTGTAAATTATTTTTAAAGTGTGCTTCAAATTAAATATTAGTGAATCATTTAAAATCCAAATATTTTCTAAATTTAATTGGATTAAATTCAAGACGTTTAGCATGCATCATATCATGTATTTGAATAAATTGAAAACCCTAATTATGAATGATTAAAAATTGAGTGGGAGCGGGGATTTTTATACATTGCCCCATGGCCTTCGTTATTAACACCATTGTAATTAGATCTTCAAAAATAAGGCCCCACGCATGATTTGAAGAGTCTTAATATTACAAGAATGGTTGTCTCATGAAAATTAAAATATTAAATGTTCAGTGTACTTAGATCTTTAAAAATAAGGCCCTACGCATGATTTAAAGAGTCTACATTATAATGACAAGATATTTAATGTTTTATTTTTCATTAGAGCTTTAATAACGTTATACACTCAATCTAAAATCAATAGTGTTAGCTCCCCAACGGAGTGGTCTACACTAGGTGATTTTAGAAAGGCTAAACATAATCGGGAATTATTTCATATAGATAGACAAGACATTGTCCTAAGAAATATGGAGATGATGGGATTTGTCCGCCAATAACAATAATGAACTTCGCCAACCGAATAAGTTATTGGTGTATTGGTTATCCGATTTTTCATGCAGTGGTTAAGGGACCCACATATTATTTTAATGGAAGTTCTCACCTAATAGCAAATGAATCTCTACAATAGTAATAATGAACTCCTCCAACAGGATAAGTTATTGACATATTGATTGGTTGATTTATTATGCTACAGAGTTGAGGGACCCACATTAATTAAAAGGGATTGTTCACCAATAATGATAATGATCTCTTGTTCGATTGAGATTTATTATATTATGTGGTAAACAAATTCATTTTAATTTTAAATATGCATGACAGTATTAATAATTCACCTTGCATATTGTATGAATGCATTTATATTCAGACTAATTATGTCTAATCCATTTTATCTGCTTGCTAATTTCAATGTATGTGGACTTCATTTATAATGACTAGAAAATGAATTTAGATATTTTATTCATAACGTGGTGGTACAAATGTATTTACTACTCCTAAAACCTAATTCTTTTACTTTAAGATACCCAAGAGAACATTAATGCTTTGAATAAGTGAAATAAGGCAAATGAGATGAATTGGTGCAATATTCTAGAGTTTACCTCGAATACGCTCCAAAGCTAACATTTACATTATTTTATTTTCTTCAAGCATCATGTTAAATGTCAATAAGATGTTTTGGTGAGATTAGATAGAGAGTATGCCAAAGTACTATGTCAGACT